TTTACATCAGTGACTCACCGCGGTTATTAAGTCCCTGCCTGGCTTTTTTTATAACGAGACGCCTTTAGCACTGGTGGATATTTTGAAATTGCACATCACCTGTGTACATTCAGGTACACTTCCTGCAGTAATGGGCTTAAGTGGAATCATTATTCTCAAAGTTTGCAGTTTGAAGTCCAATAAGGAAGTATACATATCCAGTAACAAAATGATAGAACCATCCTGAGACTTTTTTTTTAAGTGCATTGTAGCGATCATTTTTGGTGCTACAACTTGAGATAGATAGCCACCCTCCCCAGTTCAGGTGGGTGGAGAGAACCGGGAGATAGACTACTGATTCTATAGTTTATGAGGGAGTAAATTTTCTCCAAACAGGCTGAAAAAGGAAAGGAAATGCTTGTTATAATGAGACTCCAGCCCCCAGCTTCCTCCCAGAGGTTTGGGTGGGACCCAGTAATTCAGACTTAATGAGACCCAGGCATCTTTTGTCAGAACACCCTGGGGAATAATAAAGTAATAGATAAATTCAAAGAAGCTACTGGGACCTTGTTTTCGAGACAGAATAATGAAACGGCCCTTATCTTCTTCAGCCTAGAAATTTTAATGAGGCATCAAAGAGTTAGCAAGTGCTGCTTTTCCACCCCCTGCCATCCGGACCAAATCTTTTCCTTTAAGAAAACTCAATGCCACTACTGCCTTAGGTTAGAAAATTTTTCCCCTGTTACACAAATATACTCTCTTTCAACCTTAGCTTTGTGATTAAAAATTTTATTTTTGATAACTCCCCGTCTTGCTGTCAAACTTTACAATTCTTGACTTCAAGATGATAACGGAACTCATGAGTCGGATGTGGGAGGTGGGTATGGGGATTCTTTAACATTCACCTTGAAATGTATTGTGCATTTATGTGTCATTTGTGCGTATGTATTTAGGTAGGACTAGTCGTGACTGAAGACACAGTAACGGAGTTTTGAATTGGGAACACATAGGTAAAATTCAAAAATACCAGCTAACTGGACTGTGGACAGCTTGCGGCCGATTTATTAGTGAAAACTCTAAAATTAACTAGTGTGTTAGCTTTCTGTTGTTCGAGTTCCCTGCGTAAGGTCAGGCAAGAGACACTAAAACCGAACATTATGGTAACTTCTGTTCATCAAAGGCAAGAGAACAGTGAGTTTATAATAGTTTGAAGGGCAAAAGTAGTTCGGCGTACCATTTGTTGGCAAAGTTTTTTTTTGGGGAAAATGCGTATTAAAGTAATAACAAAATTAAGGCAGAAAACAGAGAGGGAGGCAAACCATAAGACTCTTTAAATACAGAGAACAAACTGAGGTTGCTGGAGGGGGCGGGATGGGCTAATGGGGTGGGCATTGAGGGGGCACCTGATGAGCACTGGGTATTATATGTAAGTGAGGAACTCCCCAGGTTCTACCCTGAGACCATCATCATTAATCGGATGTTAATTGACGTGAATTTAAATAAATAAAAAATAAAATAAAAATAAAATAAAAATAAAATAAAATAAAATAAAATAAAATAAAATCAAGATCTCAAAGAGGAAAAAATAAAATAAATAAAGTAATGTGAGTTCAACAATCAGACTTTCTTAATTTACCCAGCCCGGGTTGTTTGCATTTATGTCATCGGATTTAATTGTTCGCCATTACGGGGCACACATGGTTCCCATTAAGTTTGTCTTGATCCAGATGTTTTCCATTTCTCCCACTAAATCTTGAGTTTTGAAATTACAGAGGCAGGTTGAAATTGGTAAAGAAAGTCTGTTACCTGTGTGTTTATGGCAGTGTTTAGTCATTTTGGGAATCCTTGGCCCCCGTTTCACACTAACATCCTGTTTCCAAAGACGAAACAGAATCACAGTTGACCTTACCAACAGAGCTGCCGGGTGGGTGGTGGTGTTTTCCCCTCACACAGATGAAATTGTTACCATGTGCTTTTTGATGTCCACACACAGTGAAGTGAAGTTGACAGTGGCCTCCTTCCTGTCTGATCGGATTGTGGGATTCCAGATTCTGATGTGCGCTTCACACTGCCATCATAAAACTGGTGAGTGCCATGGACATCTGAGGCTTCCTGCTGTCATCTGCCATGATGGTGGGCAGGCTCCAGTTTGGGATATGGCTTCACGCTTACTCTTCAAGCAGCCCCAGGGCCACCTTTACCCTAATGCTTTCCAGACATTCTAGAGCATGCTAGAATTTCTCCAGAAGGTACGGTGGCAGGAGAGAAGCAGAAGTGATGGTATCCAGAAATTTCATTCCGGGCTTATAATGGCAGGTCAAGGGTTTTGTTAGGAAATACGCGAGACCGGGATCTAAAGATATTTTAGATTATTTCATCTTTGTGTGCTTATTTTTATTGGTCTCTGATATGATTTGAGAATGGAATATTCTTGAAGACATGAGGTCATGGGGAAATGAAATGTTTGGAGACCAAAGAAAGGCAAGAGGAAATGGACACATTCTAGGGGATTGATAGTCAGCGCCCAGCCAGGCCTTCTTGGATAACTGAGGTAAAGAAATCAATTTTCTTATATCTGGAGACTGGTTTTACCAAGGTAGAAGACTTTTACTTCAATATCGGTAAAAGGATAAAAAAAAAAAAAAATACATCAGCACCTTCAGGGTGTTTTGAACTTCAGGAAGTCCTCTGAGGTAATAGATGAAGGTTTTACTGTTATATCTTGTGTCTCAAACATAATAGCAACGGATGCGGGTGCGTGTGATCTCTGAAGTGAGTTCTGACATTTCCCCAGTGAAGTGTTTCAGGTTAACGACCTGTGCAGGCTGGAGATACCTGTGCCTTAGGGCACTGGAATTGTTGGTGACACCAGAACACCACAGAACGTAACGCAACGGGTAGCCGCCAAGTCTCCGAAGGCAGACGACGCGGAATATTTGAAAAAACTCATTTCAGAAAAAAAAAAGGCATAAGGCTGTCCCTTAAAATGGATAGTAGAACAGACATCTCCAGCTGTGTGATGTGGACTAGAGCTGGCCCACCTCAACCAATGGGCACCAGTCCCTGACGAAAGTTCAACCACCTAGGAAACATGGAGAAACTTCTAGAGCAATTTGAAATGGCTTACAATATTTAAACATGTTATTTTTCCAATGTGTTATTGTTTTTTAATTTTCTTTTAATGTTTATTTATTTTTGAGAGAGTATATCAATAAACACCCAGTGAAGGGGGGACAGAGAGAGAGGGAGACACAGAATCCGAAGCAGGCTCCAGGTCTGGTCAGCACAGAGACATTCAACGCTGGCTCAATGGAAAGTCGTGATCGGTGACCTGAGTTGAAGTCAGACGCTTAACTGAACCACCCAGACGCCCCACTGTTTTATTTTTATTGTTTTTTTATCAGTAAACTGGTTTGTGGCAAATTGGAAATACAAAAAACTGGTTCATCACCACAGAGGATTTAGGAAGCACTAGTTTCTAGTTTATGGCACAGTTATTGTTTAGAGCCCCCAAACCAGACTTTTTCTTTCTTTCTTTTTTTTTTTTTTTTTTTAAGTTTATTTATTTTGAGAGAGAGAGAGGAAGAGAGTGTGCATGCAGTAGGAATGGGCAGAGAAAGAGGGAGAGGGAGAGAGAGAATCCCAAGTAGGCTGGGCTCTCTCAGCACAGAGCCCAACACGGGGCCCGACCCCACGAACAGTGAGATCGTGACCTGAGCCCAAATCAAGAGGCGGTCACTTAACCAGCTGAGCCACCCAGACACCCCAAGACTTTTTCTTTCTTAAATAAGCAAAAGCAAAAAAAATCTATGGAGCGTCCTTTACAGAAACAGTTTATAACCCACGGCTGCAGGGACGGTCTCAAAATGCCCACTTGACATTGTGTCAACATGACCGTATGCGAGCACCCACACTGAAAGGTGGAATTTTTCACTTTTTTTTTTTAATTTCTCTTTCTTTGAAGCATTTACTCGGAAAATATTGACATTTTCTTTTTACAGTTTAAAAAAGAATTGTGTGGGTGTTCTTTTGTATTGAGCTGTATTTTAATACTCTGCTAATTTAGATTATAAGAAGAGAGCTTAACTGCTGTGTGAAAGAAATAGTATCTAAAAGATGAAATTTTGTTTTCAAAGGCATTCCAAGTACTTAATACTTTCTCCATTTGAAGTTGAGAGTATACCCAGAGCTTCTGTAGTATTGTCAACTGGTCCTCAACGTTTAAAAAAAACTTTTTTTTTTTAAGTTTATTTATCTTTGAGAGAGAAAGAGCTCAGGCAGGGGAGGGGCAGAGAGAGAGAGGGAGACACAGAATTCAAAGCAGCCTTAGGCTCTGAGCTGTCAGCACAGAGCCCGACGCGGGGCTCGAACCCACGAACCTTGAGATCCTGACCTGAGCGGAAGTTGGATGCTTAACCGGCTGAGCCACCCAGGCGCCCCGTGGTTCTCGTCATTTCAAAAGAATTGAATCAAAGTTGCTGGTGATGAACCAGCTCAACCCTAGAGTTCATTAATTTCAGCCCAGTTTATTCTGCCTCTTACCATTAGATTTTTTAGGGTTACTTAAAGCATAACATGGGAAATTAGTAAATCCTATCCGATATGGTATTCATTAAGTGAAAAAAGCCAGCAGCAATTAGTTTTGTGAGCAATTTCCTTCCTCTCAGCCTTTAAAAATAGTGAAGGTTGGAATCATTTTATTTCCCCTCATTAGATACTTTTAAAACACTGACTAGAGCAAGAAATTATTTCAGAGGAAATTTGAAATAAAATTTATAAAAAGGACACGCCTTTTTTTCTTCTCGACTACGTATTCTCATTTATTAAGGCAGGTTTGGTATTTCTTGCCTCAAACCGTTCACCCTCCAAAGAAAGATAGTAAGAGGTAAGTTATTCAGGTGTGAGTGGATTAAGCACAGTCACCACGCCGCCTTGTGGAAGGTATCTTCCAGAATTCGGCTCACCTGCTCTCCCCTTGCCTCTGTGCTTTTTCCTCTTTGGGCCCGTCTTGACTCTCTCAGGCTGAGCATTTCAGCAAACAGGGCAGGACCCTTCCCCAGCCGGAGTCCTCAGAGATTGAGCTGGCCGAGGAGAAGCCAGCCAAACGCTCCGTCCTCACGGCGGAGGAGCTCGCGGAGATGGATCATTTGGAAGATCTGGACGCTTGTATGGTAAGACGCACCCTTGGGCGATCCCGTCACCCCATCACCACTGGGCGCTCGCCGCCGATCTGATGGTCGGAAAAATCTCACCTTTGCAAACCAGACCAAACAAAACTCCCTCCCAGGAGCCATCCTTTCGGAAACTTGTTGCTCACGGAGACCGTTAATGAGGTCAGTAAGGCTGAAGCTTCAGGCCCCGCTGAGGCCCTGCACCTTACTTTGGATTTGTAATTCTGTAAAACTTCTATTCTATTCTATTCTATTCTATTCTATTCTATTCTATT